GGTGTGTGGGGTGTGGGTGTGTGGGTGTGGGTGTGGGGTGTGGGTGTGGGTGTGTGCCATAACAGATAGTCAATCATAATTACAATCAGTTACTAAAGAAGAAGCAAAGCATTTTAAAAAAACATGCGGCTCTTTTTCACTACAGATGCTCAATGAATATCAGAATAATTGATGAAAGAAGAAGTGAAAATATTTAAACAAATAAACTTGATTCTTTTTCTCAAATAAAATAATCAGTTATGATTACAAGTAGGAACTAAAGAAGATTGGAAATGAATAAAACGAAAACATTTTATCCTTCTTTTGGCACAAAAGATACTCAATTATTATCGACATATCTAACTTAGAAGAAGGACAAAGGCCTAAACAAACATATTTGATTCATTTCCTGATACTACGTGTTCGAAGAAGATGAGATTAGAGACCTAAAAAGAGGGCAGAATGCTTAAAGAAAAAATTGTTATCGCAATTCCTTGAAGGATTAAAAATGTGAAACGCGATTCACCTATTGTTACTAGTTAAATAGATTTCGTTTTCTTCCGATTCTTCGCGATAGATTTGTAGCTTATTGTTAATTTCATACTTCAAAACTAGAGTTTCTCTGTAGCAGTCTATGATGAGTTTGGAGATTCTCTGTCGCTGTCTATGGAGGTCTCTTTGTGTTCTCTGTGATAGCGTCTGGAGATTCTCTGTCACTGTCGGTGATGATCACTTAGTACCCTGTGTCACAGTCTGTAGCACTCGCTGAAGTTCCTTAGTCACAGTGTGTAATGAGTTTGGAGCTTTTCTGTCACAGCATATAATGAGTTTGGGGCTTCTCTATCGCAGTCTATAATAGCCTGTGAGGGTTCTCTGTCACAGTCTGTGATCGGTATGTAATTTCTGTCACGGTCTATGGGGGAATGGATTCAAAATTTTTCTAATCTATGCACTTCATCAATCCTTTCAGATTGTGTTTCACAAAAATATTAACCCTTTTTATCGTAAAAGATATCGGATGAAGATTAGAATATCTAACTGAGTAAGAAGAAAGAAAATCTAAACGAAAATGTCTACCTCTTCCTCACAAGGAATACTAAAAAACAGGAGAAAATATTTGAATGAAAATATTTGATTTTTGATGAACGATACTGTTATATTCAGAGTAACTGCCAGGACAAAAAGAAGAAAGAGTTAAACGATGAAAATTTATGCTCTTTCTAAAACGCACTTATGAAAAAATCAGACTATTGAACTAAGAAAGAATGAAAAGAGGATAACGAAAATATTTCATGTTGTTCTTTGTAACAGATACTGACGTATGATAAGGATAGCTTATTGAAAAAAGGCGAAAAGAACAAAAGAAATATATTCAACTCTTCTTCTAAGAAAGAAGTGAAATGAAAATATTCAATTGTTCTCCAGACAAAAGTCACTAAACTATAGTCAGGATAACTGAATGAGTGAAAACAAGAAACCAGTTAATAAAAATATTTTATATTTTTAGTCACAATAGATACTTAATAAAAGTGAGAATCACAAAACGAAGAGGTATGAAAAATACGACAGCTAGTTATTTTTTAGCTGATGACTATTGGAAGATATTGAATGATCGTTGGGCTAACTCAATTAGAAATAAGAAAATGAAATTAACTAATCTGTGTAATTATGCTGCTTTTGAATAGGTCTTAGGTTATTGTTTTAGTGGCAGAGTTTGTTGAATGTTTGATCGAAATGGTTTTTGGATGAAATAAAGAATTGGTTTGTGTCGTAGATGTTTT